TCAGGCCATTTTTGGCCTATTTTCAATACAACCTTTGTTTGAGCTTCAACCCCAGGGTCTGGCACGTTTTGGCATTGGCAAGAGCAGCCTCCTGGACGGGCCAGCACTATATAAGACTGGCCCGCCCTGCAGGCTGCGGGTAGTTGGGAGGTAGTTCATAGGTACTTCCCAGGCACTTCACGTGCAGTTCAGGAGGCAGGAGGTAGTCGTCAGGATTCGGCAGCAGCACTCTGGAGGAGCACTGCAGGAGTAGTATTAGCGCTAGCAGTAGTCTTCAGCGCTGGGCGCTTTGCAGCATTAGCAGTAGTCTTCAGCGCTGGGCGCCATAGCTAGAGTAGTACTAGAGAGAGAGAGATTGGGCGGAGGCCAGGGATACGTACCTGCAGCGCCGTTGCTCCAGCTTCGTCTTCAAGGTACCTGCAGCACAGCGCCATCTTCACAGGTAAGTACCTGACACATGAGACAGAGAGTTCTTCTTCTTCCTCTTCTCAGTCCATCATCTCCTTCTCACCCTCCCGCTAAAGTCTTCCCTGCGCTATAAAAGCACCATTTTGTATGTATCGGAATGCACATTGCTTGTTGAGATTCTACTTGCACTGCATTGCCCATTCAGTCCTTTTTATCACATTGCGGATCCTCGGTTATTATGTACATCGCCCAACTGGGCATGTAACAGTTAATGAGGGTGATAGAACTTTTCAACAGCCTGTGCATAGCTCTCAAACAATGTGAAAAGCTCTTGGGAACGTGTTTGGCAATTCCCAGGCCCGTCTCCTTATCAGCAACATTTTGTTCCCCCCGCACCACGCAGTTTTATGCTGTGTCCAAAGACTCCAAAACCATCCCGTGCTGCAATTGTAGGTAAAGGACTTACGGACCTTATGCAGATAGCCTGCCCCTGAGGGTAGCTCAGGGTATTTCCTTTTTTTTTTTTTTTTTTTTTTTTTTCTCTCAGAGTATTTCAACAAAATAACACGGGATAGGTGCCAAGAGTTGTTGCTTTTTTGTTTTCAAAAAAATGAAAATAACACAGGACCGGGTTCTTTTTTGAAGGCTCCAATCTATTGGTGAGGAGCGGCACCTGCTGGAAATCGAGACCAGCATCCCTTATGCATACAAATATTCAGATCATTGTTGTAGCAGGACTGACTAGTACCTGTACTGGTGAGGAGCGGCACCTGCGGAATCTGGTCTCACGATCCCCAGGTGGGGAGGCGGAACTATACTATTTTTTTCTGAATCCAATTCCATATCCAGCAACTGAGACCCAACGTTCCATCCCATTGAGACTTAACAATCAGGGATAAGCCCGTTCCTCAGGTGGGGAAGGTAAGTTCAACCATTTTTTCTACCCTGCACAATCTCACTTCACACCCCACAGACTGTCCAGTACAAGGCTGGGATCAACATCATGTCGAGAGCTCACTCCACATCATCGGTGTCAGCCCCGACCACAGGCTCTGCCTCAGGTTCCGCCTCAGCCTCAGGCTTGGCGTCAGGTGCGCCCTCAGGTTCCGAAACGGCACGCAACACAAATGATCAGGACCCAAGCCAAGAGGTACTCAACCTCATGATAAAGGAAACACACATCAAACCAGTGATTACCAAGGAAGTGGTGAAAATCAGCAAGGATGAAGAAGCGGAATTTGAAGTTTGGATATACCCAAAGGAGCACCTGCCCGTGTTAGACGGAAAAACACGGAGTAGTCTGCTCCTTCCCAGCAAAATTGAAACAACTGCCGCCCACAGAAAAAATAATCAGGGTTAGAGATGCTCTCCAGAACATGGAGAACTTACGGGACTCATTACCCAAGATTGCCTTACAATAGAGAGGGAAAAATGCAGTCACTGTATTATGTGGTGAACCTGATTACGCAGTTTACCCCCTCTTAGTACAGAACCTCTACAACGAAGGTTCGGTGGTTTCCATTTTTAAATGGAGACCCAACAGGGCAGCAACGCAGGGCACCTCGAGACATCGGCAATCACTGATGAACAAGCACTTATGTATCCAGTTTGACGACCCAACTGACGAAGTACACCACCTGGTAGAGGATAGATTGAAAGAAACTTACCCTCAGTACCCTCTGGTTGAATGGGCCTCCTCAGCCCCAGTCTTCCTCGCCCCCAGCACCAACTCAAGAATAGCGTGCATCGAACTAAAAGGCAACAACCCACCTGAAATGCCTGACAAAGGTTTTTTCAAACTGGATCAAAAGGTCACAATAGTTTACATCTCCACGAAGGCGAACCCCATGTGTTTCAAATGCAGGATCAAGGGACACATAGGGAACGACCCTCTTTGTCCCCTGAACACGAGAAAAGGGAAGGGCAGAGGGTTGCACCCTCAATGTTGGTCGAAGCAGATGCGATGAAAGGCATCTAGATCATCAGCGACCCAATCTATGCGGGTTGGGTTTTTTACGACCTCAAAGATAGCCCAACATGGATACCAACACTAGCAAACCCAAAACCAGCATCCACACCAGATGTCTTCCCTCCTCAGAGTCCTCACGAAAGCATATGGCAAAAAGGAGGAGGTAAAACGAACAACAAATCCACGCATAGATACGAAAACGTTGCCTTGGGTAACGCCACGCATCTGGAACACAAAATGCACAAAAAACAAATCCTCAGCGATGTATACAACATAGGACGAGAGGCAGAAAAATCCTACCTTGAGATCCTGCAAACCAGAAGTGAATTGGAACCGAAGAACGTAAACAGGGGCAAGAAGAGTGAATCGGGTCCAATGAAAAGAAAGAATAAGAACAAAGACAACTATCCCAAAGATTCAGGTAAGTCTATGGAAACCAAGAAACGCATGGACAACAATACGTCCGTTGAAATCAAGGAAAACGAAATGCACCTGGACATAACACCACCTGCGAAAATAGTAGGAATCAGTCAAGACACAGCATCCGAGGAGGACTCGGGCAACACCCTGGAATGGATGGATGAATACATTGAATTGTTGAAGGCACGCAAAGAACTGGACATGGAAATCAAGCTGGCACATTCTAGGTACATCAGCACCCTGAAAAAGGAGTCTATCGCTAGCAACACAGGCAAAATCCCAACCACTCTCAACCGCTTCAGGCGTTGCCAACAGAGAATACCTTCTCTGAATTCTTGGCCCTGCAATATGCTGATTAGCACAATGATGCAATGGACACAAATGCCAACTCAGGAACCTCCCACACAGTCCCGCAATCGAGAGAGCAACCAATCGAGTGGCCCAACTCATACCTGCATGACGACATGTCAATTTGGCAAAAGGGAGGACGAACCATTAAGGAACAGCAACCTTAAGGACCAAGGATCAGAAGAATGGAAAATGATCACCCTTGCAAATAATCTGATCAAGAAAGAGAACAACCTGAAGAAGGAAAAAAGAAGGCAGATCGCCATTCTCGAGAGACAGACAAGATACTTGCAGGAACAAATCCTCGAGCTAGGGGCAGTGTCGCATTTCCTCAACAAACCAAAACCCCCCGGAGCTGACAGTGGCAGCAACCCTCGATGCTCGCGTCGTTTCCCCCATGGTCCCATTCCTGCCCTTCCGCTACAGTTCAGACAAAAAGGAATGGCAGATTGCAGTCCAACCTTCTCTAAACATCATCACAGCGCAGACTCAAAAAAATGAGCAAACTTCACAAGGGCAAACATCTGAGAAGATCGTCCTCTGGCCATGAAAGTGATAGAGCAGGACAACCTGGACTTATACTGGAATAACGACAACGGAGAAAGGCTCTACAATGACCTGAGACCAGTCCTGGTCCTATACAACCAGCAAGCAAAACTGATGGAGGGACTGGCATGGAAATCATGGGAGACGATATGCGACATTCCCTACCCCCTCCTAGGCCACAAGGATGAAATCGACAGAATTGCCCTCGGCACAGCGACCTTCATGAGGGAGGAATGGTTGAGAAAGGACAAGGAGGAGACCCTGAAAGATGAAGATGGACGAGGAGAAAAAGGAAGAGAAGAGGAAAGAAAGAGAAATGGAAGGGAATAAGACCTCGCATCCCACCACCTTAACCAAGCATCAGTCCCACATCAGTAATAACCGCTACAAGCTCTAATGGAAGAACAGTCAAATGGCCAACCTGATTGTGGGACAAGCAACATACCAAAAAGATTCAGACCCACCACCGAAGCAGATATTCTCAAAGAAATCGGAAAACAACCCGATTTAACTTGCAAGTCATCCTACCCCTTAAGCACCATTGGCCGCGGGGCGAAGGTCTACTAGTATGCCCTTGCACAAGGATTACACACATAAATCGAGAAATGGTCTACATTTTTCAGGGAACGGGGTGTTGTAAGCAGCAGAGTGGCCTTGTCATCATTTTTTTCTTTTCGTGCAGTTTGACACCGTAGCTCGACTTTCGGTCCATCCCACATTGCCAGTTCTGCTTACCAAAAATAGCCCACTTGGAGTTTTCATTGAGAGGTTGTCTGATGAAGCAGTGGCCTTGTCATCATGATCAAAAAGGAAAAAATAAAATTAGAAAACTCTTTTTCCAGAGCTGGTTACCAGGCAACTGTTTCAGATTGCGAAGAAGGTTATTGTTTGGATTGGAGGTTTTTAACCAATTGGAAGCGCATTTTTTCTGTACAAGAGTATTTCCCAAGTTCACTTTGAAGCTTCGTGTGCATAAGGACCCGGGAACGTGTGGCAGGTTCTTCCCCCGAGAAGAGGGAACAGAAACGCAAGCACCTGGGGAGGGAGAGAGTGCCAAGCAGAAAGGCAGTGGACGGGTTAAGAGAGAGTGGTCCTTTATGTGCTTACATGATGGTAACAGTTAAAGCACATGAAACATCCAGAAGTGGATATTTGCACGTCCTAGGAGAGGAGTTGATTACCTGAACTATAGGAGGCTTTATAGGGCAGAACATGCAACTTCCTTCACAAACAATGTCGCCCACCACCTGCCAGCCAGATAACACATGCACAGCATCACATAGAAAGGCAACCATGTAGAATCAGAACATGCATATCTGGCCTTTTTTCAACTCTCCGAGAATGACATCTCTCTCTCTCTCTCTCTCTCTCTCTCTCTCTCTCTCTCTCTCTCTCTCTCTCTCTCTCTCTCTCTCTCTCTCTCTCTCNCACACACACACACACACACACACACACACACACACACACACACACACTCTTACTTTATCCTCCTCTCTCTCACACACACACACACATGAGATTTGCCAAGAATGACATGTCCTCCTAACTCTCTCTCTCACACACACACTCTTTACCCTCCTCTCTCACATACAATCATGCATGCTTGCAAGCATTTATGCATTTAGATAAACATAATTTCTTTGTGGACTTTTTTGTTTGCCAATGGGTTCAGCAATCAGCTCACCATTACGGGATTTGTGGTGGGTGCAAATTCTCAGATTGCCGTGCTTGGATTTGATTGCTTACTTGCTTGCTTGATTGATTGCTTGATTGATTGATCGGTGATCAGAATTCTAGGCTAACCCATTATAGCCACGGTGCTACTGATATGTGCCTGATTGAAACGAAATCTAACATGGCATCCACAAGTTCCCATCGCAATGACAAGTGGACCAAACGAGATGAGGAAAATACACAGAAGAAGCACACAAATACTTAAAATAGAACTGAAATGAAAATCAATTCTAAATACCGTCTCTCCCCAGTTCAATCAGCAAGGTGTGAGCGACGATGACAACGTTAGCGGAGCGTGCGCTCTACCCCATGGCACGAGCAGTTAGTTTGTTAATCTTGACTGGGTAATCTTAAAAAAGAAGGAAAGAAAGGAAGGAACCGGACAAAAAAAAAAGAAGAAAAAAAAGAACGGCCATGGTACTATGATGGTAGTGCGATGAAATTGAATAAATCGCAGATGCTTCTCGTCTGATCTGATGCCAGATAAGATGAAACGGATTCCACCTTTCGCAGTAGCCGATGCAGATCCCAGGGCTCGATCCCTAGTCCTCACTTCACCTGTGTACAGTGTCTGAGTCGACCCTGAGAGTTGAACCCGTGACTTGTGTATTCGCAGTAGTTGGTAGGCTGTCGTAGGTCCGTAGGTTGTAGGGGTTTGATCTGTAGACCTGTCGTTTGTAGGTCTTAGCAGGTCCTAGGAGTCGTAGCTGTAGCTCCTCCGAAGGGTCAAAGTCGTAGCTGCTGTATTCCTGAAAGGTCAAGGTCGTAGCTGCTACGGTACCGAAAGGCCAAGTCTACAGACTTCCGGAAGGTCCGGAAGTGGCCTTTCGGAGCTTGCTCACGTTTAGACAGAGGCAAGTAGGCAAGTGGCAAGGTCAACTGCAGTACGTCGGCAGTGCGACTGTGGTGAGTTGACAATGCGTCCCCATGCAGTCAGTGGTATCAGTCCCAGTCAGTCAGGGTCCAGTCAAGCAAGTACCGTGTGGGACTGTGTGCACCCAGGGCATGGGAAAGGGGCAGACCAACAAGCTACAGAAGTATAAAGCAAGAGGCAGCGATCAGTCATGTATTCATTCGCTGCGTAAGCCATGCGGAAGCGCTGCTACAGCGTCTTGTGCAAAGGTGGTCTGCAGGTTGCCCAAAGACGAAGTGGGCTGAAGGGAGATCGTAGCCATAGTCAGTAGTGGTAGTGCGGCCATAGCCACTGTAGGAGGAAGTGAGATTAAGCGTGTGTGTGTGGTGGTATTCGGGGTGATCCAGAGTGAGTGTGTGTGAACAGTGGGGTTGGACACAGTGACGAAGGTTGGGATGTTCAGGCGCCGATGCCCCATAGCCTGTTGAAGTGAACTTGCATCTGAACTGTGTTCTTGATTTCCATATCTCTAAGCTTTGAGTGGGTGCTCTGCGCCAGTGTGAATCTCCATCTGTTTGCATGTATGTGAAGTGGAAGTGAAAGCGAGTCTGATTGCAAAGAGAATCGCAGATATCTGGAAAAAGGCTAGAGTGTGTCTTGTTTCACAGTGGGGCTGTACATTAACAAGTTTGGATTTGGTAGTTTTCTGCATTTTGAGCCCCACAGGGTTTGATCCCTTCACCTGTCCCCGCGAAGTTACCGGGACTTCTCTCTGTCCTGGTAGCTTTAGGTCCCCTCTATTTCTGCTGCTTCCTGAGTAGGCCCGTAGGTTTTGCTTTCCGGTCTGCCCTGGTGCAATAACCTGCTCAAAATATGCTATTGAAGTCGGCCAAGGGCCGCCCACAGGCACAGCAAGGCACTGCGGCAGACCGTATCCCAACCAGGCCCCGAAATGTGGCTTCAGAGGCCCTGTGCCCGATAGTTGACTCAAGTCAACTGTAAATCGGAAAAATGAGGCTCACGAGTCAAACTCTACACGGACCCAGTCCAGGCCATTGATCAGACACACACTACTGGCTGTACGCAGGTATCCAGGCAGAATCTGGTCCACGTGGAGGAGTGTAACTTTATGCGATCCAGGCCATAAGCTGGGAGTCAATCTGAGACTTCGTACCTGGGAGACCAGAGGCTGGTCAACTCCATCAACACTACTTATTGACCCAGCCCCTGTTGGTCGATATTTAGTCTTGCACTTGCTGCTCGACGCTGGCACGACGCTGACTAGACGCTGGCTTGACGCTGGCACTACGCTGACATTGTGCATGACGATGACGCGAGACTGCTGCATTGTGTGCTGGCACCTCTCTGCTCTTGGCGCCAGCTGTATACTTGATTGCTGACGTGGCGCTTGCCACACTGTCTTCGACACAGATTGGGGTATCGACAAGGAGGGAGATTAGGGTTGTGAGATTGGTTGTGAGAGAGAGAGAGGGGAAGCTTACCTGATTGATGCCGTCAACACTGTGCGCTGTTGTGTCGTCTCCATGAGAGATCTGTGCCTACGTGGCACTATGCTGTGATCGGATCTTGTCAGGCTCATCTCTGGGATACTGTTTGCTGACGTGGAAGAGGGGAGATGCCCGAAGGAGGAGTGGGTTATGAGGGAGATCTATCTATGATGACATTGATGCATACTTTCTCTTCCACCCTTTAAGTCTTATCTCCCTCCTATCAGCTTCGTCCTCTGGTTATGAGACATTGTACTTCAGATCACATCCTAACCCTTAAGCAGCATTGGCCGCGGGGGGAGGTCGATGGTCCGCTGCGCGCCGGAATGGGGTCGAAGTTTTGGTGAGGGCCGGCGGATGAAGGCGATCGATGGCGGGGGGGCGTGCAGAGAGGCGCGCGTACCGAATTGTTCACAGCGCGCCATTAAACGTGAGAGCGCGCCCCCGGGGCGGGGCACACGGCGGG